ATATTTTACGCCNTTTTTCTAATTTGCAATTTTGAGTATTAATAAAATTATTATTATTATTACTAACGTTTTTTTGAAACTTATTTGTATGTGAAATTTGCTGTGTACAATCAGTACTCTTTTTTTATTTACATACAATGCTGTACTTCACATNGTTATCGACCTTACCGCCATTGTCGCTATTGTCGCAATTAGTAACACTAATGTTACAATCAACATCATTGNTATAGGGCAAATTATTTCCGCATATAGGAAGAATATTACTTGATATTTGTTTATTTTGTACATTAAAAGACAGTATCATTTGATTCACTTTCTGTTTTTCTTTTCCAAGGTTACGTAATATACGCTTACGAGTCGCATTATTTTCTTTTTTTTATCACAGTTGCTAATGGCAATACTTTCAGAACTCCATAGCGCGCGTCTTGAGAGAAATGCTCAATTTTATTTGTTTTGAATATTTTAAGTAAATGTAAACGCATTAAGCTATGATCATATTTAACATTTTCAGGCGGAATGTTATGTAATCTGGAGATCGCAAAAGCTATTGCAAAAACACCACAATCATTTCCGTTCGGTTGCTGTTGCACTGTAGGAAATTTGACAGAATTGAAATCATAATCTGGAAATAATTTTTTTAAAAACGTTTTATGATTTTCGTGCAATTCTTTTTTATTCAATGAATCGTAAAGAAATGTTTCTTGTGTCGTAATAACTACATACCCAATGCCCAGTACGCATATCTGGATTTGAAGAACTAAACAAGATCTGTATATGCTTACTATATGTCGGTATAGATTCTATTCTATCGGGAACGTACAATTTATAGCTATCAACAGATTTGTACAGATTTTTTGACCAGTTTTGTATGAGGCACTTAAAATGATCCATATGTACGTCTGTCAACCAACCGTTCTGAACAATTATGTCTTTTTCTCTTTTCTGTAAAATTATATGTGTTTTGGCCATTTTTTGAAAAAATTTTATAATATCAGTGAAAAACAGCCAGTTTTTTTTGGCGCAGAGAAGCCTATTTTTATAGCCGCAGAAGCAGCCTGTTCTTATAGGCGCAGAAGCAGCCTGTTCTTATAGGCGCAGAAGCAGCTTGTTCTTATAGGCGCTGAAGCAGCCTGTTCTTATAGGCGCAGAAGCAGCCTGTTGATATAGGCGCTGAAGCAGCCTGTTTTTATTTGCGATAAGCACTCAATGCAGCCAGTCTCTGTAGGCGCAGCCTTGTATACAGCCTTGTATACAATTATCTTTATAGCGCAGCTTATATTTATATTTCTTTATACTGTTATCTGCAACAAAAAAATTAAATTTTAAAGTATAAATGTTGATTGATGATATGTATGATATATATATTAAATATA